TACATTTTTAGAAAGTAGGAGCCTTATTAAAACATGATGTTTAAATGAAGAAGAATAACTAAAAAGAAAAACAATCTGATCTTAAACCTTTTGTGCTAAGTGCCAAGCAGATTAGATTGAGGTCTGTGACTGGAGCATCTTCTACTTCTCCAGATGCCCCTTCTGAACTACTAATCACTGCTTCATACTCGTTGTATGGTAAAGTTTGTGGTGCAAACTGCTATCAGCAATACAAATAAATACATTTAATTTCTGCTCAAATTTTTGTGTTTAAACATTAAAGGAAACTTCACAAATGGAGTGTCTTAGATGATCCTACCCTTCCAAAATGAAATATAAAAAATCTGAATACATGCTTTATAATAACTGTTGAACGTATTAATTCATCAGTCAATAAAACATTTTCTATTCAATTATTATTTATGAATACCAATCTCATAAGAAAAACATACATTTAGGATCAATACAGAAACTCAAGAAAATTAATATAATGTACTATATGAAATATACGTTTAGAGATTTGAAGTAGATCCAAAATGAATTTTGTAAAACTACAGTGGAAACAACAGAGACCCTATTTTTTGTTTGTCTTCAAAAAAAATGTCTTCTCACTTAAACAACTGATAATCAGTCAAAACTGATAACATTCCAAATTTTGAATTGACACATATAACACTCTACTCCGACAGCCTAGAATTACTCATTTTAGACACAGTTAATTTGGTCCTTTTATTGGCAACTAAGACCAGGAATGATTATAACATTGGGATGCTTGATCTATCCATCCATTCCAACAGATTAAATCACATAATGGTGATGGTAATTCATTCTTCAAAGCTCACATGATGTGTTCACATTTTGAATAAAAACTCATTTAAAGGTTTACATGTTCTGGCTATTAATTTTTTTAAATAGGGTTTTTCAGTTAAAATATAGCTGTAAAACAAGTATTTGTGCATAGTTCTTTAATTAATTTTAAAGCAGAAAGGCTAATACAGGGGTTGGGTTATAACTCTCAAAGCATTACACTTCTTTGAGTTAAAAAGAAAATCAGTATTTCAGTCTCGTCATTTGATTCATTTATGGAAAGCTATAGGCACTGAAAATGACAGGGAAACTACCAAAATGAAAAATTACATGAAAATAATAAAATAAAAACAAAAACCACATTTTTTGATCATGTCTGGTCATTTGGCAACTCGGGTTAAGAGAATAAGAGTTGAGTGTGTTCAATGCAGTCATTGGGTACACTAAGCCAAAACTCCAGGGTGGCCAACAGTCAATTTGTTCAAAGAATTGTACAATGTATGTTGAAAAAAAAAAAAAATCAGTAAGGTAGATATACTGAAGCAAACAAAACTTCAATAACCACCCACAGCCTTCCTGCAAATGGAAAGGGTTTTAACTGGATTTTGAAAAACATTTTTTTAAATATCTGTTCCTTTATCCAGGGGCGGAGCAAGATAGGGGGGCTATTTGTTACCAAATGCTGTAAGAAAGTATAGTTAATCTTTATTTAGAAAATGTGGATGTTTTGCTTGATAATTTTCCTGTTGGAACAGGTGAAGAGTGACCGTTCTGGTGCCGATCTGCTTTCGGCCACCCCTCAATGTACATTGGTTATTGCCTGGCCACCCTTATTAAAATTTCTGGCTACGCCTCTGCCTCTATTAAAAGGTTGAAAACATATACAACAACAGAGAAACTTTTAATGGTATGGCTAAGCAATTTAAAATAAAAAAAATAATATATATATATATATATATATATATATATATATATATATATTTTTTTTTTTTTTTTTTTTTTTTTTTTTTTAGTTTTTTTTTTTTATTTTAGTTTTTTTTTTTTTATCCCTAGCCTTTTCATATTCCCACACTTATCCCCCAAAATATGTTCTTTATATTCTGACAGGAGTTTTTTTTTTTATCAATTTTTTTTATTTTTATTTAATTTTTTTTTATTAGGCTGTTGTTGTGTGGGGGTGGGGGGGGGGGGGCGACGACTCCCTACAATTTCGCGCAATGGACAACTACCAAGCCCTATATTCAGAATTTCCCATATTTTGCACACTTTTAACTGCGCACTAGAATCCTTCTGTGTGTTTTCTGATATAGGTGCGCAGGCTGTACTGTAGTATAGCTATCAGACCATAGTTTGCTTTTAAGTATTTCGGTGTACGCTGAAGAATGAAACAAACTGACCCTTGATTAGGCACAGCTGGTTCGTTCGTCTGCAAAAAGGTGCGCAGCTCCATCCCTATAAAGCCCGCAGGTGCGTGTAATTTGGGTTTAAAATAATTTCTTTTTGGGTGCCGCTCTTTATTCGTTTGTCGTTTATTGAAAAGAAAAGAAAAAAAATTGTTTAGAAGATGAGTGCCGGAGGTGGAACCCCTTACATTGGCAGTAAAATTAGTTTGATTTCCAAGGCCCAGATTCGTTATGAAGGAATACTGTCTGCTGTGGACACGGAGCGCTCAACGGTGGCTTTGGCCAAAGGTGGGTGCAGCAATTTTTACACAATAGATATATATGTATATATCTTATCAGTGTTTTGTTTTTTAGTATTTGAAGTAAATATTCTTTAAAGACAGAATGTAATGAGGCAAAAAAATGTTTTCCCCCTTCAATATTCAACTTAAAGTATGCCCATATATCTTACTGTTTTATCAGTTAAATCCTATGGCACAGAGGACCGGCATGCGGAGAGACCAGTGCCGCCAAAAGATGAGATCTATGAATATATAATCTTCAGAGGCAGTGACATCAAAGATATAACCGTGTCTGAACCCCCGAAGCCGCACTATGGGCTGCATCGAGACCCTGCCATTGTTCAGGTATGGTAACAAACCTGCTGAAGTGATGCTAAATGCCTGTGCCACTTCTGTAAAAATAAGTTTACACACAAATTAGAAATATAAAGTGTCATTTTAAACTTTTATAGAGAACATCCTGTCACACAAACTAAAAAAGAACAAAACTGATCCATCTATTTCTCACCTAATAGACCATCTCATCAGTTTATGGACCAGTAAACGTTTTTTTTTTCTTTTTTACTCTAACTTCAAAGCAGTCCAATCTGCTTTGTGATGTACTCTGATTAAACGGACCTTTGTAATATCCTTGGCCAATTGCAGTGGTGACAAAAGTACACACATTTGTATTGATACTGCAGTTTAAAAAACACTGTGGTAAAAGTTGAAAAATCAACTTCACCTCTTTAATCAAGTAAGTGAAAAAAATGTGTGCTCCAAAACTACTTAAAGTATACAAGTATAAAGTAACCTTTAAAAAAAAAAAAAAACAGCCAGATGCCACTATATGAATTGAAAGCTCAAATTTTCAGCTATTTTGAAAAATTCTTTGAGATGGAGCCAAAGATGAGGGAGGTCTTGTTGGTGTTCATCTCCCGGTGTGTGTGTGTGTGTGTGTGTGTGTGTGTGTGTGTGTGTGTGTGTGTGTGTGTGTGTGTGGCGATGCCTAATACTTAATGACCTGTTTATTTCATGTATAAAATTGGTTGGTGTTTTTTTTTTTTTTTTTTTTTTCAGTTTGCTTTTATATTGAATTTATTGGTCTTCCTCTGAGGTCAATTTGTCCCCCAGCTGTTTTTAGCCTTTGTGTGGCTTAACACATCCAACCACAATTGAGTAGTTATTTGATGACATTAGGGATGGGAGACCTATTTCTCATAAGTACTTTCCCACACAAAGTGCCTAGTGTCCCCTCTTGCCAGTTAGAGCTGGGTTGGTTTGATGCAGCTTATATTACCGAAGTGTTTTCAAGGCCCCACCAGATATGATGTTGGTCATTTTGAAGACTTTAAAATATATATATATATATTTTTTTTAGCTTTTCATAAAAGCCAATTTTAAAAATGCATATACTGTTCTGGGGATGACAAAATTGATTAACAATAGAGTAGAGAATGATACTTTGTAGTGACCAATGGATTACAAAAACTCAAGGATTCATTTGGATCAGTGTTTTAATCTGAGTCTGGAATGTATTTACAATCTGGATGAAAGATTTCCAATATGGGTGACATCTCAAACTGAAAGTTTGTCCTGATGGTGGTGCTGCAGGAAAGGTCATATTGCCAAATCAATGTTTAATACATTTTAAAAAGGAGAACTGGGAGGTAAATTCTAATAGGTTAGGCCTAATGTTTGGTGTAGAGGCTACAGACTTGTTTTACTATCAAGGGTTTATGTATTCCAATAAAGCACTTGTCTCTTAAATGTGCTCAAATATTTCCCTCGCTTTACCCCAGGGGTAAAATGTGTTGCTGAAAGTTTAGGATAATCAGAGAATTAAGTAGTGGGGGGGAAAAAAAGATTTTTTTGGATTAAAACTTTTATTTGACTTTGCTTTTTAACATTCTGAAATGATTAAATTGGTTTTACTGGTGCATTTCCAGTTTAATTGAAACTCTTGAAAATGCCATTAACTTGTAACATTTTACCTTTTTCTCAGTCATCCATGGGACCACCTTCTGGATATCACCCACGTTGGAGTCCCTGCAGAGAAATGATGCCCACCTTTAACCAATTGGCTGCGAGTACCCTGCTGAGTCAGCAGTACAACGCAGCACTAGGCTTAAGTACATACATGGTACCTCGAAGGTGTAACATTGACCTTACTGGATGTATGTTTGCAAATAATTTTTATTTCCCTTAGTGCCAGGACATCACTGTACAGCCACTAGGGGACCTATGGTGGAGCAGGCAGTTCAAACCATTCCCTTGGCCACAGGTCCACAGAGAAAAGGAAAGGCTGCGATCCAGCCACAGGGCAGGCTGCCTGTTCGTACATATCGGGGCCCGTCACGAGACGCCTCTCGGGTTGAGAAGGAAAATGTACCCACCAGTAAGTAATTGACACTTAGAAGTATATCCCAGCGAAGATCAGCAATCAACTCTGGGATCCTACATAGAAAAAAAAGATGATTCCAGACACTCTTAAAATTTCAAATTTAAAAAGTGAAAGCCCAAACTTCTGTTTTGGAGTCAAACATAACTGTATTTTTATTTTATTTTCTTCTCAGGTCGAGCAATATCACAATCAGCTGAGGCTAAGATACAAGGCCAAGGTGCTGACAGACAGAAGGCAAGACAAAAACAAGGTGGTTTTATTTAATGCTTGAAGATGAAACTCATTTAAATAAAAAAGGCATAGTAATTGTTTTCAGGGCTTTCCCACAAAGTGTGAGGAAAAACTTAGTAAAAAATGCATATTCCACTCAATCAGTTTAACTCTTTCATACTTGAACTGGCTCTGATGGTTATTTTCAGCCAATCGCAGATCCAGAACCAGAAGTCGAGGTCAGCTCTTGGCAAAAAACTCCAAAGTCGCATCTTTGGAGTTTGAGGCAGATTTTGACTTTGAAACTGCAAATGCTGAGTTTAGGGATCATCTCACAAAGGAGGCAACAGGTAGATGAAAGATGAGTCATGTGTCAGATTTTTATAACTGGATACTGGAGAACGATTTATATATATATTTTTTTTATATATACAGTCGACAAGCTGGACGTTGAGGAAGCACAAGACGTGGCGGATGTGAAAGAGGGGGAAACCCTTGCAGAGAAGTACTACAATAAATCTAAATGCTTCTTCGACAACATTTCATCAGATCCTAAACCCAGGTAACTGTGGTTGTTAATCTGCATTTGTACCAGCTTTTGGTTCTGATTCTTCATGTTCACTGTCCTTCATAGGAGAACCACCTGGGCAGAGGAAAAAAAGCTAAATATGGAAACCTTTGGAGTGCCTGGTCGCTTCCTAAGAAGCAGAGGACTCGGACGTGGGCGCAAAGCAGAAGGGTCTGCAGAGCAGCGCAACCTCCCAAAGATTGGGAATGGAAGAGTGTGAACACTTTTTGTTATTGCTACTGTAATTATAGTATTGTTATACTTTAAATGAATCTCCCTAACTTTAGCAACTTTTTTTTTTTTTTTTTTAAGAGCTGAAATGCTTATGAAATGGGAGGCTTTTTTGTTTTTTCTAATCCAGCAGTTGTAATATTGTCTGGATCAAGGCAGTATTTAACTTAAGTGTATTGAACTGTGCACTTAACTTCTAATTTGTAACTCTTAAACATTTTTGTAAGAACTTTTTTTTTTCTTTTTTCCTTTTTTTTTTGCTTCTTGTAAGATTAAATCAAGAAATGTACAACATTTGCCATTAAATGCCATGATGCATATAGATAGTTTTGGTATTTTTGCTCTTGATCTGCATTTGTGCTGACATGCAAATGGAGGCCAGTTCCTGAAACTCTAGGCCTAAATCCTCAAGTTCATCAAATGAAGCATTATCAGGAATGATAATGCTATCAAGATCTGAGACGATGTCGGCGTCTCCCTCTTCTGCGTAGATGTGAGGTTTATATTCCGGTAGATCGTCTTCAGTTTCCTGGAATGAGCGCACTTTCTGTGGATTATAAAGAAAAAGGCTGAAAAATGTTTTAATGCTTTGAATGCCTTTAGGACAACTTGCAATACTAACCAAATGAATCTGAGAGGGCATCCATTCCTCCAGCAACTGTTGTCTGTACTTGTAGAATTCCCATTTTCTATACTGTAAACACAAATGTATAGTTTTTTTTTTTTTCAAAAAGGTAGCAAAGGGTACAAGCACTAGGCGTAAAACTCTGAATTTAGTATTGCTCCACATCAGTTTGTCGAGAACCGAAAGCCCCTGTCACACCTTGATGATTTAGAGCGTATGCCTGATGTGCAAAAACACTGGCAGACGTTGGGTCAGTTTTGTTAGTTAGGAGCACACTGGCATAAGGCGAATATGTCAGGTACATTTCCTGACGTACCCGCCGCATGTTGACGTGTGCCAGCATGCTCCCAATACAAAACGTCAACATGCGGAAAACGTCGAAATTTTTAAAGAAATATTAGCCAAACTTTGGACTGACTTTTAAAATATTTGGCTTTTTGTACATACGTTGATATACTTATTCTGCATCCAGTCCACCTTCTCTTCAGTCTTCAATGAATTGTTTCTCTGACCATCTGAGGTTGAATGGATACTTTTTGCTATCTTTAAAAGGAAACAAAAGACAGAATTTGGTATTTGTACCTAAAGTTGTCAGATTTGAGCATGCTCAAAATTTCTTGACGTATGCTTATTCATGGGCTACAAGTTACAGGTAAGATATCTGATCGTTGACCTACGTTAAGTGTAAGTTACTCATGAGTCGTGGTGTGTAGCTTATCTAAAACCTATGGGTAACGTGTGCATAACTAATGTATAACAAACTTCAACGCATATGAACGTATTTGAAATGTTCCAGACGACCACTGAATGCATACCAACGCACAGCTACTGTATAATGCCTTATTGGCAGCGTTTTGGTATAAAGTGAGTACTCCTCCAGACTTCATCCCCCTCATAGGGTGAGCAAGAAGGTGACTGATGGATTCTTCCTCCGTTCACGACCAAACTTCCTAGCAGACATGGTTAATCAGCTGCGACTGCAAACCTTTTTTTTTTCGGGTGGGCGGTGAACAGCAGCTAGGTTAATACTATCAAAGACATCTTTTTATGCACACCAGGTGTATTGCTGCCCCCTCAGGAAACTGGCTTGTGCATCATTTCATGGGAATTACGCTGCCATGCGTTATGCATAAGTTGCGTTATGCTGGACTTGTTATGAATACTCAATGTTTACACCCAAAATTGAAAAAAATACATATGTATGCCAGCGTTTTAAGAGATTCTGGGACGTCAGACATACACTGTTTAAATCGGAAAGGTGTGACAGGGGCCTAAGCTAATGTTAGTCTTCCTTTGTTAAATGAACTATGCAAGACTTGCTGTTTAAATCAGTAACCTTGTTTGAGCAGAGTAGGCTACCTCATCAGAAATGATTCATTCCTCAGCTCTGAGAAATCCCTTTTCTTAGATGGAACGAACAAGAAAACAATGCGTGCATCTAAAAGTTGCCAATTACCTTGCTCCAGTTCCAGTAATATTTCCTCCTGTAATCCTCTGACTGGTTGTGTAATAAGGACACATTAGTATCCTGTTAAGCAAGAGACAAATATTAGCCAAACTTTATAGACTGACTTCTCAAATCAATCAGTTTTTTGTACGTACGTTGAAATACACACTCTTAGTCCAGTCCCACTTCTTTTCAGTCTTCAATGAATTTTTGTTCGTCTGACCATCTGATGTTGAAGGGTTATTTGGTACCTTTACAAGGAAACGAAAGACAGAATTTGGTATTTGTACCTAAAGTTGTCAGATTTTTGAGAATTTATAATGTGTAACCTTGCAGTCAGTCCCTGGGTTCTCAATGTTTGAATTCTGTATGTTTCCCACAGGAGAAACCGTATCCATGTCAGTGAAATTCTCTTTGCAAGAGAAGCTAATTGCAGCCAGAAGAGCAACTGCAAACAAAAGTAACGAGAGCAGTGCGATGCCAACTGCTCCTCCCGCGTTAAATGTTGGAGCACTCCGATTGCGGCAGTTGCGAGCCACAGAGCAAGAGCATACAGTTGTGGTCAGCCTGTAAATGCCGTACTGTCCCTGCATGTCTGAAACTTTTACTTTCAGAGAGTAGACACCAGCATACACTCTGGAATCCCTCACCAAGCCAGCTGTGAAACCTACAAGGATGAAACAATGGCTTACTGGAATGTATTGGTTGTGTCGCTGTGACATTTTCTACTTTTTATTACAGTTTTTACCATAAGATGGATCCAGTTTCCATTTTCCCCTGACATCCCCAACAAGCTCAAAGGTGAAAGGCCCTCCGTAGGGAGTCTCATCTAGATCAGTGGCTGAGATGTTGCTGGTAGTCTGCCCATCAGACAAGCAGATTTCCAGATTGTTCATATCAAGTTGTGGCACATTATCATTCACGTCAATGAGGTGAATATGCAGCGTGGCTGTCCCTGTCATTGGTGGCTTCCCTGTTAAAGGTTAAAAATCATGCTTTCAAGAGGAGCTATATACATTTATCATAATAAATGGCTGTATTTACCATTATCCACTGCTTGCACTATCAAGGTGTAGATGTTGTTGACAACGTGGCTGGATTCTCTGTCCACCAACTTTTTAGTAGTGATGTTCCCAGTCTGGGCATCGATCTTCATCCAGCCAGCAGGATCATGCCCTATTTTGTAACTGTTGATAAATAACACAAAATGTGCAAAATAACGATAATAATAAAAAATAATTCTTCAAGCTCCTTTCAAAACATCCAGGGACAGGTTACAATATTCAACAGATTAAGAACAGGACAGCCAATCAGTGATAGGGTTCTGCAAAAACATTAACTTACTTTCTTCATTTGCTTAATATTTATATACAACTGGCATTTTTTTATTTTATATTAGATAGGCCTACTTCAACATCCATGTATGATTGTGTAAGTGTAGCACCTTATATTTGAAGCAAATTCCTTGTAAATCTATAACCCTACTTGGCAATAGAGGCTTTTCTGATTCTGCTTCTAAAGTTATTGTATAAACCAGGATATTTTATTTTAGAATGTGACCCTTTAATGTTATATTCCGGATATGGGTAATATTTAAATAGCCTAAAATGAATCTCTACTATTTACAAAGTTTTATTTGCCCCAATCAGGACCACTTTATTAGGGATTTTTATTACACAGGTAATGTAAAAAGAGAAAAAGTCCTCAGGTTGTTTTTCCAGTCCCAGTCTGTCCATTCTGCTGAGTATTTTTGACACAGTTCAGTATTTCAAATCTGTTGGCTGTTTTTGCTGTCTCTGAGAAATTACAAGGCTAAGAAAGCGTGCACTCTCCCTTCTCTTTAAAATGACCCATGACACCTGTGGCTTATCCTTATGCAAAAGCATATTAGTGCTGTCATTATAAACCGTGGAGCCCCAACCATCAAAACGAATTCTTCCTGCACCTTGTTTTAGTAATTATGGAGAGGAGATCCTGCCAATAGGAGAATCTGCTGCTTTCTCTTAGAGCATTGGTCAGTGTTGATGTAAAAGCAGTACAATATTTTTGTTTCTTTAATTAATCTCTTTGAGAATTTTGTCAGCTAATGACCTTTAATGAGATTTCTATAAAAAAGGGGCATACTGACAAATCATTTTTTAAGAGAAAAATGAATAATTATTCGTTGTATGGCTTTAGGATTGACACAAAATGGACAGTTATTGAGAGTCCCTGCTCTAACAAAGTTAGCAATAATGTGGCACTCCGTATCTTATGGGCTGCCTGATGTTGATCCTGTTATGAATAGACTTGTTAGATTTTAAATTACTGATTTCTTAATATGTGAAAAAGCTGTCTGACTTTTTTTCAATTGCAAGCTGTCTTTTTGTCAGATTGAAACAGTCATAACAACTAAATCATCTAAAGTTTATAACCCCTAGGGAAAAAGGCCAATTGTACACACATTTACAAAAACAAAACACTACATTACATAAAGTCTCTTGAAGTAGTGTTGTCTGGATCCACAGCGGTCACTTTCTCCACCCAGGTTCCGATCGGTGCGTCCTCCTTCACCGAGGCCTCTTTGACAGTCACGTCAAACTCAGGGGGATCGTTCACATCCAATACCTCAATGACGACTTCTTTGGCATTGTAGGGGATTTCCCCACCACCACTTTGCTCATTAGTTATGTCAACATTCCAGAGGCCTGTGGATGGCCGGCTCTTCACTTTACAGGAGAAAAATTCAGCCTCGTTTTTAACAAAGATCTTCAGCTCTCTTTTTGGTCCTTTTTTAAAGTCTAAACCCTGAAATGCGAGATTATTTTAGTTTAAGGAATAACATCCTGCATGTTTTTAAAACTGCATTTTTAATGTATAAATAGGTGTAATAAAAAGCATGTACCAAACCGTTCTCACCTTAACAACAGTCAGAACTCCATCGTTGGTCTTTGTATCAGTCTCTATCTTGAAGTGTCCTTCCTCATCTCCTTGAATGCTATATCTCGCTCTCCAGGCTTTGCTCTGAAACACGTCTTCGTCTGTCACATGGAGACGCAGAGGAGAGAACCCAGTCTCCCTTTCTTTCACTTTGCCGGAGCCCTGTTGTTTGGATTCAGCATGTGGGGGTAATACAAAAAAAAAAAGATTCAATTGGTACAACTTAAACCTATAAAACAATTGTAAAAAAATTTTTTTGCAACACTAATCTGGGGAGTAGGCTGAGAGGAAAGGTGGTATACAACAGGGGGAGAGACATGCAGCAAGGGACCATAGGCCAGATTTGAACCCAGGTCAGCTGCATTGAGGACTGGGGCCTCTGTACATGGGTTCTGCACACTAACCCCTGTGCTACTGAAGGCTGCCCCACAAATGTTGGGTTTAACTTATTATCATTTTCTATATGTAGCTGGTACAGCAGTTGAAGATGCGCACCAATTTTTTTTTATCTTGGTGTTAAATTTTTGCTCTAAAAGAAAACTGGATTTTTTTTTTTTACCCCAAACCTATAAAGAGCCTTTGTTCCTGCAGGGATTAGTCCAAATCCACAAAAACGCTGTTTTCTATATTTTCCTGCATGTTGTCATTTGAAAAAAAAACACAAACTACATGTTTCTAGATGCGAGGGAATTAATCTGATTTAGTGGAACAACATTCCCGTCATATCTCTGACGTATGTTTGTTGGTGCACTCCTGTTCTGCTGAACACACATGAATCTGTGCTGAGTTCAACTGTGCTTAGCTGTGTCAGACCTAAACATTTTACTTTTATTTTGCAACTTTGTTTTTATTTATCATAAATGACAATCAACTGAGCAACTGGGAATGTGATTTCAAATCTCTATAAGCACCCATTACAGATATAATATATATATATATATATATATATATATATATATATATATATATATATATATATATATATATATATATATATATATATATATATATATATATATATATATATATATATATCTGTTGCACTGCTTTTGAGGCTGGATGACACTGTTGACAGGCTGGATTTTTTGTGGTAATCTAATGTTGTTCAATGTTATGTTTAGAAAGAGTTATAAGACAGATGGTTTTATTTTCAATACCGTTGAACCTGAAGGTTTCTGCACAATGGTGTGACAGGTGTTTTAGCACCACCCAACTAAAACCAAGGAACATGTTCAAACGTCCGTTACTATTCAGCAAACTTATCAACTTTTATCCTTTTTTGATTGTAGGATATTATATTTTTTTATTTTATTGTTGGTATGACTACCAACCAAACAGCGGGCATGTATATAGTGACATCGGAATGGTTTTACCTTCTTTACCATTCTTCTCACTTTTTGCATCGGCAAGATAAATATGTATCGCTCTCCAGCCCAGTGAAAAAAGAATAGGTATGTTCATCGTGCCCATATGTACCTTAGTGCCTAGTAACTTGAATCAACCTCAGATGGTTACGTGTAGATTAAAAATAATAATTGACATTTATTTTAAACATATTGCCATTGTACCTGGAAAAAATGACATATTAGATTACAATTCTTTCTCATTTCTTATTGTTGATTATTTTCCCCTTTGACCGCTTGTACTCAAATTGAAGTTGTATTTATTTTAGAAATTTTGATAATGAGTTTATGCAACTATAAAGAATTTGTAGTTCTGTATGCATCTTTGCCTGGATTTATTGTAAACTTCTCTGGCTTTGCAGCATCTTTAAAATGAAAGTCAATTAGAACAGCATGAGTCAGAGACAACTTTGTAAAGGGATAAAACTGACTTGTTCCCTAAAGGTTTATTAAAACATAGTTTAGTGCGCATAATGTCGAAAACAATGCCTACCTCAGACCTACAAAGGTTAGAAGAAGGGAAAATTTTAATTGTAGGTTATCAGGAAAAGAATGGACAAGAATGATTACCTACCGTTTGACCTGTGAAGACTGGAAGGTGGTTGTTACCGTCCTCTACATTGACAATAACTGTGGTCGAACTGGACAAGCGGACAACCTCCCCATGGTCTATGGCTTCTACCAGCAACGTATACCTGCTGGCCACCTGTCATGTTATATGAGGAGAGTAGCAGAATGGTTGTGAAAAAAAACTAAAATATTTTTCACCGCAAGACTGTAACCCCGCCCAAAGAGAGTAATCAACATTTCCATTCGGCTCACTTTTGTTCCTGTTCTGCAATTGTTTTTTCAGATCTCTTAGACAGTATTTAGAGCATGCATACCCTGATTGCACAACCTGTCATTTCTAATGATTGCTTGTCAGGTGCAGATGAACAAGAAATGCAACATCTGTTTTTGCATTTACAGCTAACTCTTTCTTCAAAGTCTTAATAAGGGAGTGCCTTGCCTCATGATCAAAACAGCCTTTAAAATACAGTGCTCCAGTCTCTTTGATGAAGAATTCAATGTTTGAAGTTTCTGGGGAAACTGATTTGATGGCGTAGTGGAAAGTTGAGTTGGGGGTTCCACTCTTATCTTCATCATAGGCCAGCACAGTGTGGATATGGGAACCTATAAAAGATTATTAAATAAGGGAAAACAATACATTTAGAAATGACTTAAAATGAGGAAGAAAAGCCCATGTCCTTACCTTGGGAGGCATCCTCATCTACTGTAATCTCATAGAGAGATTTTTCAAAGACTGGGGGGTTGTCGTTGATGTCATGAATTATAATCTCAATTCCCAGTCGAGTGTCAACAGTAAAGTCTAATGACTTCTTGGCTTCAAAGGTTAGCTTCAGATAGAAAGATTAAAATAATTAATATGCGTTTACGAAAAACTTGAATGACATTTACATTTTCTTTATAAGAACACAAACCAAGCAGTTTTGCTTCAGTATTTTTATTCATTTATCCCAAGTAATCAATAAAGTGGAACGTCTATAAATCTTCCAGAAATTGAAAAAAATAAAATAAAAAAAACGTACAATTCTATTTATTTGTTTGTGTTTCTGAATTAAATGTAATGTTTTTTATTCTAGAGGAAAATATTTGGAGATGTCAAATATTAAAGCAATGATATCTGCTATCTTGAAGGTAGGTTAAACTTGCCCTATCAAATAAAACAGAGAGATTTGTACAGGAATTAAAAAGAAAAAGGGAGAACGGTACATAAATGGTCACAGACAAACTTAAATGCAGGCAAAGACTAAATGCTTGATTTTTAACAGAAAAGGACCAAATATATTATTACCAAATATCTTCTCTTTATTTGGCTATTCCTAGATCTAAAAATACCTGTACTATATACTCTCATTCAAAACTCACATTATTAATTTCCTGCTCCTGAAGGTCAAACCCCATATTGTTTTTCTTTATTTTTTTTACTTTTACAAACTCTGCAAAGCAACTTATGATCAAAGTAACAGTCTGTCCAATTCTGGATTTTTGTGACATGATTTACAAGTCAAAGACCCTTTTTCATTAACTGGATGTTATTTACCAATGCTGCTATCCATTTTGTTGCCAGCGCCTCATAAGGCAACCACCACCATCTCTCTTCCTGGTTGAACTGGCCTTCTCTCTTTAATCAAAGGTTAATTGACTGGTACTTGCTTGTTTTTAAAACTATAACCAGAAAACCATATCATAAATCAAAATATATGTGTCCCTAAATCCATAACCTTATTTTGTCGTATTTCCTTTTCTGTTGCAGCTAACTGGAATGATCAACAAGAATCCCATAAAGTCACATCTGTTCCCTTCTCATCCTGTAGTTAATTTATCAGTGAATTTGGCAAGATATTTTTTAGATGCTTTGCATCTTTTATAAATATATGAAACTTTAAAGCTTTAAATACATACTACGGTATGTATAAATTTGTACCCAATAGTTGAGAGTTTTTATAACCCCTGATTTAAAGTTGTCATGTATAGATCTGGACTTACATATATGGACCTCCAACACAATTCCCCTTTATACTACATATAAGTTTGTCAAGCTTTTGGTTGACATTTTTGAAATTTAGATACCATTGAATGCTTATGCAAAATAACTAAGTTATATACTCTCGTCGGCTAGTCATTGGCTTGGAGGTGGAGCGCTGTTGCAGGGCTTAAGCATGTAACCATGTCTTCTCCCTCTTTCGGATCCCATTTCCAGTCTGTCTAATTTCAAATAATAAAAGATTCTAAGTTTGATGTGTGTCAAGACAAACCTTGAGTACTTTGTGCTTCTCGTAGTCCACGGCCTTTTTCACAAAAATTTCACCGCTGTTCTTTTCAATGAAAAAAACGTCCTTTGGTTCCTTGTCCACCCCTTCGCCATGCAGGTCGAAAAACACTTGATATTTGCTGTTAAGGTCCACCTGCAATCATTACTATTTTTAATACACTTTTTAAATTCCTTCATACCTCAGAAAATTGCCCTGACATAGAAAAAAACCATCAGGGTTAAAGAATGTTTCCGTATCTTAATTTTTTTTTTTTTTTGTAAAAATATATATTTAAAATGTTCTGATGATCCTGTGTTCCAGCATTTTCAAGATGAGCATTGCCATATTTTTACACACAGCCAGACCAGTTTGCTTAGGTATTCTTACCTTGCCCAACGAGTAAGGAAAGGGCCCCGGGTGTCCCTCTTCCATCTCGTAGGAGTCGATGATCCAGTCTCGTTTCTGGCGGCTGTGCACTTCTGAGCATGTTACAGTTTGGACAACAAGTATCTAGAAGATAAAAAAGCAAGCTGAACCTGAATGCCATTGAAAGGTGTGTATTCAATGATAATTTTTGCTCTGCTAGATGGTTTGATTATAAATCAGCCTCCATTGATGGAAAAACAAAAGGCTTGTATGAATTTTTTTTTTCTATGAATAAAAACTAACTTCTTTAAAGGTTGCAGGTCAGTGTAATTAGAAACAAGCATTCATTTTTGCCAAAATTCAAAACCTGCCTGTTTAAAAAATTTGCTCAATGAAACCCCAATCAAACCCCCAAAATACCTCAGGTAAAGTTGAAGCCTGAGAGTAACACTTGAAAAATATATGATATAAGAATACATGACCTACATACCAGCAGAGTGAAGAGGAGCATGGTGCTGGTTCACTGCGCGCAGTGCTGAGATTGAGTATGTGCAGACAGACTTCTGTAGAAAAAGACCTTGCCTCTAGCTTTCCACACCTACAAGCTGCAGATGACAGTGACAAAAGCCGCTCACAGGTGTCTCATCAGGTGAAACTTGTAGTTTTGGCAGCTTTTAATTTACAGCTTTCAAGACGTCACAGTTAAGGAATCTGCTCCGATCACTTTTTTGTGTACATATGTATGTGTGTATATGTGTGTGTGTATACTGTATATATATACATACAGATTTACAGAAATACTACACATTTTAACTTTACATGAACAACACAAAGCAACATAATATTGTGAAGGAATATTATGTTTGTTTTGCAAATTTTCTAAAGCATAAACAGACACGATGCTAAACGAGTAGCACGGTTAGCTATGGTTACATCTGCAAGCTTTCTTACATCTTTCTTTATGATGTTTCTCCTTGGCTCCATCTCTGCCCTATTCTGGCTCTACCTTTCTTATACCTCATCCAAAATAGTTAGTTGTCCTGAGTTATTTTCTTTTTTTTTCTACTGCTATATGTTTGGTCTTCTAGATCACATTGATGCCACGTTTGCTTATGTCCTTCATTCTATCTCTTTTCTCCCACTCTACAGTATTTATCAAGTTCCACTCATAACTATACTATAATAGGAGCGTAATCTCTTCTGTTCCTGTTTGGCTGTGACTCTATCCTGGGTTAAAATATGAGCTCTACTGCTACCAGCGATGTCTCGGTATAGAGATGTTGGCCATAGGCCTGTTTTGTAGTGTAGTCCTGTTTATTTTATTGTGTCCAGCAGAATTGGCTCAGATCTCATCTCCTTGGCTGTGTCTTTCCTGGACAGAAACACCTGTGGGGCTAGTTAACAACTAGTTAACCTTTTATGTCTCCGCTTCTCTGCAGGGAATTTTTATCTGTATATTGCTGCTTTTTGTATGTCTGTTGGAGGAGCATGTCTTGGTGGTCAATCACTGGATGCAATCAGCTAGTCTTCCTAACCAATCTGACAGTATTGTCTCTGTAAAGTGCCTTGAGACGATATGTGTTGTGAATTTGTTTTATGTAAATAAATTTAATTGAATTAAATTACAAGGTTAGCTTATCTATGTAATATATTCCATTTGTTCTCTGGAAATCAAGCTTAATCAGTTCTGGTAAAGAGTATTTGTGATAAGTTATTAAAAAAAAATTTTTAGAAATCCACTGGACTTTGTTTCCAAGTTTTGAAGACGTTTTTCTTCCCATCCAGGAAAGTTTTTCAATTGAAAATGTCAGGAATAGCATTGAGTTTTAGGTTTTATACAGTAGCGCAACAAATGCTTGTTTTTGTTTTGAAAATATGAAAATTGGAACAGACGAATGGGGTCCACCCATTTGTAATGGGGTTCTTTTGTAATTGGCTTCTTTTGTTAGACTGCAATACCCCATACCCATCTATGTATCTGAAAGGTCGGTCATTAAAGGGGATTTTTGGACTGGCTGAATAGACGAGGTCTTCCACTCTCCTGTACAGTGTGTGGGGCTGCAATGATAACGGGAAGGGATTAATTTAACAGGTGCATTGTAAGTTTTTGGAAGCTGGAACCTGAGTCCACCACCTCTTTTTAACGTTTTTTCTTTCTTAACATAGACGGCTTCCTACAAGTATTTGAGATAAGTATTTTAGAGTTCTGCAGAAATTTTATAGTAACATTTAATTCAGGACTCTTTCTAGATCATTCTTACACATGGATATGCTTTCCTCAGAAACAGTCCAGCTGTGTATTTAAGTCTGTTGTTGCCAGAAGATAATCCTTCACGCTGAAAAATAGTGATGTTTTGTTTTCTTTCTGACAAAATGCCTCCCCACAGCATGATGCTCCCACCGCCAGTTTCACACTAGCCCTGTACCTCTCACAATTTTTTTTTTATGTTATACAAAAAGTCTTCCACATGATTGCCTTTTCTCCTAAATGGCTTGTTTTGACCTTTAAACTTTCAGTGGTTTTATTGTCACAATGGTTTCTTCTTACAAGGCTCCCATAGGCACGTTTTTTAGATAGTAAACGTAACAAGAACTGGTCCTTATTAGGAGTAGCTTCTCCAGAGTTAAAATTGAAAGTTGCTTCCTTACTGAATCTCTTGTTAACCTCGTTAGGTGGACTACCCAGGCTTGGTGGCTTTATTTCCTGTAATCTCTCCATTTTGAAGACAAGTTACTTTTACTATTACTTTTCACTTATTTTTCCTTCAATATTTTTCCCTCATAACAGTAACTTTAGTTATTTGCTTGTTTGGTTGTTGTATCTGTGTAGGATCCAGGACCTCTGAGCAAGGATTGAAATCTATTCAGTTTGTTTATTGAATCTGTTAGTTATATTTGTTTAACCAAAATGATCACTAAACAGATTTACTTTAAAAAAAAGAATACCCCAATTTCTTTTCTTTCACTCTGCACTGTTGATCCCTGCTCAAATGATGGCCTTGTGAACTCCCAAACTCTTGTGAATTTCTACTGCAGTGTTTGAGATTAGCCTGAGGCAGATATTTGTTCATTGAGAACAGCAGTCGAACATATTCTCACATTCATCCAAGACATTTAAAAAAAAAACTAATGAAACAGCTTCATTTATTTTATCTTTATTCCTAGCAGAACACAAGCTGTAAAATTCACTGTTAAACCATTTATTGTTTCTTTCTGCAGCATCTTTTTTTTCTATATGCAATTTCTGATCATCAAACTTCTTTCATGGTTTCATAATACTGTACCAAAATAACTGTTTTCCACAAGAAAATAAAATAAAATGACAATGTAGAAGATCAGTCTAATGAGAACAAGCGTATTTACAATTGGTGGTCATTTTTTTTCCAAAATGTCCTCTTATGGCTGAAGTCTTCTCTGCTGTACTATCCATACACAATTATTCAGCACAAGATGATTCTTTGCAACAAGAGTGTACACTCTGAATTTTCTTCTCCCCTCCTGGTGAAACGCCCCTCTTCTTCTCTGTGCTGTTTTCCTCTTCCTCGTCTGACCCAACCAAAGGCGTGTCCCCTCCATTGATGTTGGCGACCTGGCTGTCAGAGGAGCAATCTGAAGATGTGGAGGACATGCGGGACTTGCTGTCTAGGCTCTCAAGGACGTGTTGAAATAGCCCGTTCCTGATGGCCTCCTCATTGCTGTTGCTGCTTGCTTGTATTTGGAGTCATAAAGTGAAATGTTTAAGACATTTAAACTTATTTATTTGGGTTGAACTATGATCCAGTTTAATACCTGGCATTGGGGAGGACAGCACCCCTTCTTCCCCCACAGAGTTGAAGAAGACGTCCACAGGGTCTTGATCAGAGAGGTCAATGAGCTCCATCTGGTCGAGGAGGTCTACATTCACCTCCATTGAGGAAATACTGCCAATTGGAGCTACAGAAAAGGAACATAATTAGTTTAAACATTTAAAGATTTTTGTAGTGCAGAACTCTACTATTAAATTCCAGCTTACGTCTCCTGTAGTCCCTGATGCACAGGTGTGCGGAGGACAGGTATACATCTACTTCATGTTGAAAGACCTCCTCAAAGAAACGCTGCCTCTCTCTAAGCTTGAGCTGCTGTGCTGATTCCATGTCTGGGCGTCTCTGGGTGAGGTCTGTCTCTGCTGGGAGGGCAGACATTTCATACACACAGTTTTAAGGTCACACAGCTTTGTACACTACCAGTAGTAATTTGGCCAGTCAGGTGATGGCACAAGCACTTAAAGGTATAGTGGAGGATGTTGTTTTTTCCCGGTGGATCATCAAAATAAGTGGTCCTCCTAATGGTCAATCATGATGGTGATATCTTTACGTAGGGCCGTCCTATGTGCTCGTCCCCATTTTTACTTACCGGTGGTGAGTCTGACATAGTGGAAAAATTGCAAATCTTTTTTTGGAAAGTAAGCTTGTATGAGCGATGCAAACAGCAACTTTTAAACAGAGCGTCCATGAGGAGAAATGGGCTTGTGCATGCTCTTACACACGTTTAATAGGCATTTCCTCTCTGGACTGAGTACAGGGGTTGTGCATGTGCATTTTCTTTTTAAGTAGAGAGGGCGGGTCTTTTGAAAAATTCTCGGAAATCCTCCACTATACCTTTAAAGAAGAGTTCTCTGTGCTTTGCACTCTAAGTTTTTTCTGATGCTTATTGTCATCTATCTAAGACTAAGGACTGGCTGTTCCCATGTATAACTATGTCTTCGAGACAGTTAGGTAATGATGCTGAAGTTTGTGTGGGATTGCCCTTAAGTCAGCATCTTTAAAAAGGTATTTAGCTTTTGTTCTGGCATTTAATACCAAACGATATTTATCTTAATTACACAAAACCCATCTCAGCTGTGAATGGTTGGATCCATGTAGGCATCACATGCTCTGCTAAGCACAGCTGTTTGTGTGAACTGCAAAACTTCATGCATATTTCAGGACCCTATAAGAGGTGTAAGCCAGAGGAGGGCAACATTGAGCCGTACGTAAGTGAGCCTTAAAATAATCTAATTTCTGATTTTATTAACAGGATGTAAGAAACATAACAATGACAGTGTTGAGGATTATAGATTTTGCATCTATATCAAAGCAAATTTCTTAAATTCCCATATCCATCAATTATCTGCATGAAATCTAAGTTTTACTGAGCTCATCACCAGCAGTTAAAGATGGCCACACTTTGCTTGCCCACACATTTCCAGTCCTGTTCTATAGATTCAGAGTAGAACTGTGACTCCTCTCGCCAAGTTAATCCTTTTTGAGAAACCATGTGATCCAATTTCCTTCCTCATCAGCATCACTGTAATATAAGCCGACTGGAGCTCCAAAGCAGCCAAGTAAAGACTTGAGTTCAGACAGAGCAGTAACATAAATAAGGGGTTCTCTGTTTAAGGCTGCAAATTTGCTGTTAATTTAGAGACAAACTTCATAAATATGCAAGGTATTAGTTGAAGAACAAACATGAATTGAACAATATTCTTCTGTGGAAATTCTAACAACTGTTATCAGTCCAGCTGGACGACAGAGCAGTGTTTGAGCTGCAAGCAGTGATTATAACCTAGCTAACGAGGATTGAACTAATTGGATCAGTCCTCTGAGTCATCTCTAAACTGAAAGTAAATTCAAGCTTTAGTTGAAGCTCTAGTAAATGGAGGGCCCAGCAATCAGCACCTTAAAATAATCAAGTGAATGCATTTTTAGATTAAAAAAAATAGAATCTCTTGTGGCAATAAGAAGCAGCTTGTGATCCCAGACTTTCAGTCAGGGGCTTAACAATAAGTAAAGGAGCATAGAAAGTGCTGCAAAAACATCCATCTCTGGAGGAAGAAAGCAAAAAAGCTGATTTTAAAAAAGCAACAAGTTGTCTTGTTTGGTATGCTGCATCAGCACAGTGCTCCCCGTGAGTCATGACCAGGAGCTCATTTACGATGGAGGCATGACAAGGGCCTGTCAGAGTAGCTCTAAGCTGAACTTACTGACAGGGTGTTGACAGGGATGGCAATGAGAAAGAGAGAGCTTTAAAAGGAAGACTGAGGATGTTTCAAAGCACCAAGGGTAGTCCCAGCAACCATACATTAGCCTGGTTTATTAGTTTAATAAATGGGGATGTCAATATTTCTACTATCAAATTATCTACACTAGCATTGAAAACAAACTGTTGAAACTGTTAAAGATCAGATTACCACCAGACCACCTGGAAGACATCGACATTTTAACCTAAATGGAATAGGAGTATAGCGCAAAAACAATGGTCCATTGCTCACCTCCTTTCACCCGTTTTTGAATACACATGTCAAATTAAAACTTCATATTTTTAAAGCGAGAAAGCCTCCCCAGCCATCTTGGCCCTCTGTAAAAAGTATATCTAATCATTTGTTCTGCCTTCAGGTATTTGTGTTACCAATTATCTGTCAAATCGCACTTAAGAGATCTTTACCAGTTATTCTTTGCATAAATGTTTTAATTCAGCCCCTTGTAGACTTTGAATAAATAGTATTATGGGATTTCTTCAAGGTCCCAAAGCCCTGAGGAAGCCCTAGACAAACTACTACCTCTTGCCTGTCAGTATGATGTTCTTTTTCTAATATTCTGTTATGTTTTGGTTCAAAGTATTCTTTTCCCTTGCATATCAAATCAGTATTAATATCTATAACAATGTTCTCATATCAAATAGTGTCACTTCGACTGTTATGTGTATGTTAATCAAGTCTCAGTTTAAACATGTTGCTAAATGCACCCATGTATACCCTTCATATGATAGATAGATAGATAGATAGATAGATGATAGATAGATAGATAGATAGATAGATAGATAGATAGATAGATAGATAGATAGATAGATAGATAGATAGATAGATAGATAGATAGATAGATAGATAGATAGATAGATAGATAGATAGATAGATAGATAGATAGATAGATAGATAGATAGATAGATAGATAGATAGATCGATCGATCGATCGATCGATCGATCGATCGATCGATCGATCGATCGATAGATAGATAGATAGATAGATAGATAGATAGATAGATAGATAGATAGATAGATAGATAGATAGATAGATAGATAGATAGATAGATAGATAGATTTCTAAAATATTCAAGCTGTTCATTCAATAATAACTCTCCTTCTACGGCAATTGCCCAAATTGATTATTATAAAATATATTGGTTCATTTACAGAAGATGGAAAATGTTTTTTAGATAGTCAGCTCATCCAGAAAAACATACAGTTCAGTTACAGTAAGTGTAGCATACCACATCCTCGTATAGCAGAAGATTTCACACCCTTAATCCAGAAAACCATGCAGTATTCAGAGGAGGAGTAAATCAAAACAAATTTTTTTACTTAAAATATATGACATTACTTGGTGTTGCTCGAAGGATATTTCATTTCCTCCAATTTAAGCTTGCACAAAAGATTTTACTCGATGTGAAGACAGGAAGCACTTTATCCGCTGTAATTACTAAAGTGTGAGTGCTCTTTTAATGATTATTATTGCCTTAGCATTAATTAATAATTAATCGTTAGGCTTATTTAGGTATATTTCCTTTTATTTTAAGTTAATCAGAATATAGCAGACATTAGTTGGTTTTTTGAACGATAAATCTTCAGATTTATTATCAGTAGAACATATTTTTATGCATGTTCTGATTTGTTTTTAATATAATGACTATGTCTTGGTGTCAAAAAAAAGCCTAATACTAATAGTTCATTTTGAGGGTCGTCTCTAATCATTAATCTACAGTTTTTCACTGAACCTTTGCAGAATGTGAAGAGAGCAGCAAAGACAAAACAAGATGTCTTACACATTAAATAGGCCTTCTTGAAATGTGACTAAATGTGTACTATGTCCAGCTGACAGTACCGTGCCAGAGATAAGGCAGAGGGTTTGTTTTGGAAAGCGTCTAACCTGAGCTGGATTAAATTGATTCCTTGTAAGGCTGCAGGTTTAAATATAGCTGCTTATCCTGGTGTGTTTTCCCACCCAGTTAAACACTGATTGATCACGTCATTGATTGTTTCCACTTAGAGCTCGATGCCCCTGGGCAGCTAAAGGTTAGCTACAGATGTGTATCCTCACATCGATTTTACTTCCCTATCCATGTTTTTTCCTTTTTTTCTACCACATCAATTCAAACGTTACAGCTTCTCTGGCCACAGACGACCCCACTGACCTCAGAGTAACACAGAAACTCTCATGGGAAAATCTTCAGCCAAAGTAATGATGGGATTACATGCCTATTGTAGCACCACTCTACACAACAGTCATTGGTTTTGTAGTAGATGAAGAGAAGACTGTGATAGATTTCATTCACTTAGTCTTTTCCCTCTCTACCTTCTCCCTCTTGTTTTCTTCTTTTACAATAGGACTTAAGAAGCAGAGGTCCATAAGATCCGCTGGAAAGGAATGTCTGGAACAGACAGAAACGTTTTTCTCCACTGAAGGAGCAGGCCGGATGTGTCTGCATGCTACCCTGCATCCCCACATAAAGACAAAGTCAGATCTTTGGCTCATGCAGCAGGCAAATAAAGGACTCTTTCAAGACAAACGCAAAGGCAGAGATGTAACAGAATGGGACTGACTTCTCTCCTTCGAGATAATGCAAGTTCTAAGATTGCGTAATTTGGGTTTTTGTCATGGCATATTGAAAAGGGCTATTCAGCCTTAAAGAATTACTACAATTTTAAACAGTGACTGGGTAAAGCTACAGTACAACCATAGGGATCCATGTCCATCAAACTTTTTACCATTATTTTAGACTTAGAGACTTAGACTTAGACTTGACTTTATTAATCCCCTGGGATTACTCCCTTCGGGAAATTGTATTTCCAGTAGCAGGAAAAATTGCACATATAAGAAGAAAAAAAGAGGATGTTTAGACACAGTATATACAATAGAAAAATAGAATAAAATCAATTAAATAAGGTGTAGGAAGATGTATTGGGGGATGAGGATAGACAAATAAATACAGAGGGCTATAGCAAGAAAACAATGACTTAAATTAACAGTTATGTAGTGTATTGCACTTGAATGTCCAGATTATAAAAACCAAAGCGAGTATCTACAACTCCTTCACTTCTGTTCTCTTCTCTTAACTCTATTTCCTACTCCCCCCCAGAGAGGAGTTATAGAG